AGAACCAAAGCTACAGTCAAAGTCAGTATTGCCATCTTAATGCGAAATCAAACGAGGACGTTGGTTGGAATAATGACATACCCAGCACTTTGGTCCTCCTCCCGGAAAATCCGATCATAGATCTCCCGCTGCTTGAACTCATTGATCTCCACCTCAAACTTCTGGAAATTGATCGGCTGACGGTCAAGACCCTGTGCCTTGTTATTGTACGCGTCGAAGATAGGCCGCTCAAGCAAGAGGCCCAAACCAGGCGCTTTGGGAATAGCAATGCGCTCAGGACCATAGGTCTCGGTGATCCGGTCTGGATGGCAGCCTGAGCGGACAACCATCGTAGCCATGGCGACCATCTTACGGATCTGGTGCATCATGAAACTCTGCCCATGGACTTTCAGACTGAGCCATTCCGTGCCGTCGATGATAATCGGCGTCGTGTTCACCTTGAATGACTTGATGTGCCGTTTCGCCGAGGGGTCGTTGTGCGTCTTCTGGATCGTGTAGTTATGGAAGTTCTTCGTACCTTCGTAGCGGTCGAGACATTCTTGCAGGCGGGCGATGCGTGAAGCGGGAGCGCGGTAGGCTCGTTTGGCGGTGAGGTATGCTGCTTTGATGGCCTTGATGGCATCGGCGATGGCTTTTTGGCGGGGGTCCATGACAAAGGGCTTTGAGGCCTCTGCGTCGGCCGGCTGTTTAGTCATGGGCTGTTCGCTGGTCTCCTGCTGCGCGGGTTGCTCGGCGGGGGCCGAAGAGACATCCTTCTCTTCTGTGGGTTGGAGTGCATCGCGGGACTCGTCTAGGTAGAGAGACTTTTCGACGATGCGGCGGATGTCTTCAGGCAGGGTTTCTAAGATCGGCTTGATGTACTCTACATCAGCCTCTTCCCAATAGCCTGCGACCTCTTCCTGTCGAGCCGTGACTGCATCCAACTCGCCTGCCTTGTCGGCAAGCTCGATGATTTTCTTTCCAAGATAGGTGCTTGGGTGAGGCGGCAAGAGACAGTGACTTGGCAGCAAATATTCGTAAACTCGGGAGTCGCACATCTGGTAGCAGCTGAAACTTTTGCTGGTCACTTCGTAGCCCCAGACACGAATTTGGGGGCTGAGCTGGGCGTTGATTTTCTGGATTATATCTTCATCTTCGACGATCATCTTTAGTGACACAACATTTCCAGCTGCGTGGACACCCTTATCTGTGCGGGCACAACGGACGAAGGAAGATTTCTTGGGATCTGCCGCATTGGCTTTTGAAACTGCGCCGACGTTGACGAGGGCCGTGAATAGATCGCCTTCAATGGTGCGTTGGTGCTCGTTCCTATACCAAACCTTGTTAGCGCAAGGATATTACCTTACACCGAAGCAGAAAAGACTTACAACTGCATCCCGGAGTATCCAGTCCCCGAGTACCCCATCAGAAGCGCAACCTTCTTTTTGGGGCGGCGCTCTTCGCTGTCGATCTCCTCCTTGGAGAATTGGGTAGCGTAGATCGGCAAGCTGACATCTTCGCCGTTCTCGATCTTGCGACGCTTGGCTTCGGCCTTGTCTTCATGACGCTGTCGCTTATCTATCGCTTGGCGACTTAATTAGTTAGCCGACAATGCGAAGAACGGGAGGTTACAATTGACGCAACATACCTCCATTCCGCTCGCCCCATATCGCGGTTCTTACGCCTTCCACCACCTCCGCCTCCTGTTCCTTTGTTGTCGGCCATTGTATCCGCTGGAAGATCTCTGATAGCTCCGCACGAGGTGCAGACGGGTCGCGCCAGAAAGAACGGTAAAATTGATGACTAATAGTGTGGTTCCAGGTGTTCTGGGGAAGCGATCGAATTAGAATTGAACCTATAGGCGCAGTTAGGATCCCAGAAAGGTTCCGTTGGAGAATCGAGGCACACATGAAATCAATTTTCGGGGCAATTTGTCTTCGACTACGCCTCACGCGCGGTTCATCTTTTCCCTGATCTGGGTACTAGTCCTATAACGGCCTAGTGTGTGGATAAACCAGACTAGCCATATATGGTCACATTTACACCTGAGGAATCAACTTTGCATGTGACGTGAAGCTCCGCGCTTTTGAACCGGAATTGTAACTGTCCTTCTTCAGTCAATCAACTGGTTCAGCGCGGTCTGTCGCTCAAGCGCAACTATACTTCTGTCGTGGACCCCTTCACTCCTTTTGCTGCCTTTGATTGAAGCATGCTTGTCTTGTCCACTATCTGAACACTGCGACTTATCGCCTTGCGCTCCAGTTGAATTCTTTCCCGACCTTCTTCCCGACCACCATCTTTTGCTCCGAGGCTTCTGCAACCATGGAGCTTTCAAAGACACTTATACGAACTGTGGCGCGTGCCTTTTACGAGACCCGTCACATCTTGGTCGTTGATGCGCTCTTTCTACATTCAGTGTATGATGAGAGTTGATCTCTGTTGATTGGTCACTTTGCTGACCAGCTACAGTCTTCACGCTGAGGATCTAGCCTTTTTGATGGGAATGCAACAGAAAGATCTTCGCAAGCTTTGCGCCAAGCTTCGAGAGGATCGCTTGATCGGAGTGTATGTCACTTCTCCCTGACGTGATCTACAACAAAGGGTGCAAAACACAAAGCTGATCTAGTTCTATTTTGATTTTAGGAGCACACGCGCCGAGATCCGCGATGGCTCTACTCGCCCAGTCAATCGGGAATACTATTACATCCCCCTACACCCGGTTGTCGATGCGATCAAATTCAAAGTCTCCAAGTTGACAGCTATCATCAAAGCGCAGTACACACCGAGTGAAGAGCGCAAGGAATACATCTGCGTACGATGCAAATCCGAGTGGACCGAACTGGATGTACTGAGTCTGGTTGGAGATGAAGGGTTCGAATGTCAAAATTGCGGCGCCATCCTGGAACGAACGGAGGATGTCAAGGGCGCGGAAGGGATGGACCGTACGGGCCACGAGAAAAACAGTAAGCTTATGGCACAGCTAGATAACATGCTCAAACTGCTCAAGCAGATTGACTCGGTCGAAATCCCGCCGAATGATTTTGAAACAGCGTGGGATCACAAGGTGGAGGTTATTCGGAACCAGAATACACACCCAGTCCGTGCCGCGATTGCTGTTCCGCCCAAGGCCCAGGATATCACACGTCCTAATGCCAAGACGGATGCCGCTGCACTGGAGATCTCCCTCACCTCAAGCGAGGAGAAGAGTGCTGCCGAGCAGGCCGATGAGGCCGCTCGTAAAGCAGCATTGGAGAAGCAAAACGCACTTCCAGTTTGGCACACACATTCTACGGTCAATGCAGCCCAGGTTGGCAGTTCTCAGATCAAGACCGACGTTGGCACTGTAGTGAAGCCTGAGCTTGTGGACGAGGACCAAAAACCTAGTGTGGATGCTTTGGACGACAAGGTCGCCGCGTACTACGCTGAAATGGAGCGCGAGAAGGAACTGCAGGCTCAAGCAGATGCCAGTAGTGCAGAAGATGATTCAGATGAAGAAGACTTTGAGGACGTCGAGGGGATCTCTGGTCCAAGCGGACCGGCTACGCCCGCCATGGCTGGCGGTCTTACAAGTGCCCCTACTACATCTTCTGGGGGCGCTGGCACCAAGCGTGAACACGAACCGGCCGCCAGTGTCCCTCCATCATCAGTTGGGACTCCGTCTGCGCCTGCCGACGATGGACCTGCGGCAAAGAAAATCAAGGTCGATCCTGATATCAAGCCTGATCCTGATGTTAAAATTGAGGCTGAGGTTAAGAAGGAGGCCGAGGAATCTGATGAGGACGATGAGGAATTTGAAGATGTATAATGAAACCATTAAAAAAAGCCAACATTGGCGCTGGCGCCGAATAATTATGGCAGACTGTGGAGCCCTGGAGGCTTGCAAAACCATTGAAATCCCGCATAGCCATAGAATTACATTTTGCCCAATTTGCAAGACTTCAGAATCAAGTAAACTGACAATTGGATGACGAGACAAAGCAAGTACACTGGGTTTTAGCCGGTAGATTAGACGTCTTGTGAGCTTTCCATTAAGGAACGCCAGGTATTTCCAATCCAAATCAAGATTCGCAGGCACGCGACATAGTGAAACCAACTCCCACCACAGAGTACGGCATACCGAGTTTCCTTCCCTGGGAAGCATAATTCCGAGACGTGGTAGACTTTTAAGCTCGCCGCCAAAGAGCTTTGATAATGGTTTGAAAACACCCGTAATCGGGGCGGGTGAGAAACTTATCGCTGGCAAAAGACTCATAGAAGGTCCAATAGCAACATGGAACGCACATCAAGCCTAGGGTAGGCTATGCATGCCCGTAAACCGCTTGCCGTTAGCTAAGTCTAGCGGTTTAGTTAGTGAATTTCCGTTCGGAATCTTCGGGGTTTCGGCGAGCCTTGGGTTGCACTGGCGTACTTTTGTGGAAGTCAACGGATACGACTGATTGGAGGGTTGTTTGCGTAAGATAGTGGGGAAATGTACAAGTCAGAGAGCCCTTTGTTGCAATCCAGTAGGTATGCCCAATGAAAGAGATTAAAGATAATCGAACAGGAGGGGAAGTAGGAGTACTCGCTGATGCTTTTGAGCAAAAACCAGGACCGATTGCTATGCTATGTAAAGAAGCCATGTAGCTCCCCTACTTAGAGGTATAAGATGACGCTGTAGTAACTCTTGCCCTCGCCGGCTATTGCTAGCTCTGCAACACAAAGAAACGCTCTATCATGACTTGGCTAAACGTGAGATTCTTACGTCCCAATTGAGACGTCCCTGCAGCCATGGCGGCGCTTGGTAAAATGGCCAGCCGGAGACATTTCAGTTGAGCTCGGAGTTTCTTATGTTTTGTTCGAACTATATATTCAAAGTCATTTCCATTATTTGGATTTGGTATAGGTAGAAACACATCTCAGTAAACATGACGGCGACTGCACTATTCTGCCTATTTCTATTGGCAGCTACCAGTCTTTATGGCTTGGGTCGAGTTGTATACAATGTCTTATTCCATCCACTGCGAAACTTCCCGGGGCCTTGGATGGCTGGAGCCACATCGAGTTGGAAAGCATACAAGGAAGTTATAAAACAAGAGTCGGCGGTTCATGAGCTCTTTGCTCTCCATAAGAAATACGGTATGAATGAATGGTATCTATGAGAAATCCTCTTGACATTTAATAGGTGATATTGTCCGCGTTGCGCCGAACGAGGTGAGTATTCATAAGCCCAGCAGCCTACACTTCCCTCTCTGGGTTATAGGGCTCAAACAGGTTACTTACCTCTCACAGCTCCATTTTGGAAGCCCAGGCGCGTTCCACGATATCTACCATAGCAGCAAAAGGTGGGACAAGGACACGGGTCTTTATCGAACCCCCGGGGTCTCATCTGGGTCATTCACGTTCTTGAAATATGCTCAGGCAAAAGAACGACGGGAGGTGATTCTTCCCATTTTCTCCAAGAAAGCCATAAATAGTCTTGAGCATCTCGTCTGGCGAAACGTGAGTATTGCTTTGCTTCCGTTCACTGGCAACCTATCTTTTATCCATTGCTAATTCACGGTTTCTAAATAGGCAAATCGTCTTGCATCTTCTATCACCAAAACAAATGCCACAGAAAGATCTATCGACCTACTCTACGCATTCCGTTCCTATACTCTCGACACTATAATGTGCTTCACATTCGGCAACTCCGTAAACGCCCTGGATGCGCCGGCATTCAGCGACCCTCTCATTCTAGCCATGGACGCCAGCCTTCGTATACTGCCTCTCATGAAGAATTTCCCCATGATACGAGACCTTATATTCGCCGTGCCACCGGCTCTAGTCATGCGCCTTATCCCAAACGCTCAGAAACTAGCTCCACGCCTATACCAGGTCCGGGATCTCGTCCAACAACAGCTTCAAGTCGTCCTAAACTGCCCCTCGAAGCTAGATACCGTGCCACACCAGACCCTCTTTCACCGAATGCTCGACCCAGAATCATACCGGAGCAAGGAAGTCCTGAATCTAACAGAACTACATGACGAAGGCTTCACACTCATCTTCGCGGGCGCCAACACAGTAGCCGACACGCTGCTCATGGGCCACTGGCATGCAATGCAAAACCAGACTTTGCTAACGCAGCTGAGAAATGAGATTTTGACTGTCTGGCCCGACATCGACAAGCAGCCATCCTTGACAGATCTCGAGACCTTACCACTCCTCACGGCAACTATCAAAGAATCCCTGCGCTTTATTCCATCTGGCGTATCGCTAACGCGTGTCGTACCACCAGGCGGCGCTGTGATAGCAGGGCAACAGATCCCCGGTGGGACGGTGGTGGGGATGGCTATCTTACATGTGCATCAGAGCGCGGAAGTATGGGGTACGGATGCGCTTGTGTTCCGACCGGAACGGTGGCTGGAGAGTTCAGATCAGGCAAGTGCCCGGAATGGGAAGAGTGAATTGGATCACTGGCTCGTTGCTTTCAGTCGGGGGCCGCGTATGTGTTTTGGTATGAACTTGGCTTGGGCGGAGATGTACATCGCTTTCGCGACTATGGTTCGGAACTTTGACTTGACTATTGACGGCACAACGGCCGAGGATATGCAATGGCGGGAGTGCATTGCAGCTTACTATCCTAATAGGCATTTGCATGCGTGGTGTCGCCCAGCTGGGCTCGGGAAGGTGAAGTAAAGAGTTGGTGCTTATATAGCTTTGAGTTCATGAGCAAATACAAACTTTCTCAAACACGAGCAAAGTTTCTGGACTCTAAAATCTAGCCTGAATGCATGTTAGGAACGAAATTGTAAGACCCCAGTCGAAAGAAAATAATGTCCTCGTATTTTGAATATGCCAGCGGGTTTTTGCTACCACGAGTCACTATCATAAACGTAGCAGACGGGTAGGGAATTTCTTCATAGCCAGGTTACTAAGGTCAAGTTGAGACTCACTAATCAAAGTCGGCCGCTATACTTGGCCGCTCCTCCGATGCTTGATAGTTCTGACCAGTTTCGGGGGGAAAGAGAAAAAGTAAGGAACATTATAAAGTCCGATGTGCTGATTTGCGATGTTTTGCACTCTTAGTATCACGGAGTTTGATAAGCTGGGACTTGAGTGTTATACGCCCTTGTTCATGCCTACTATTATCATAGAATTCCGCCATCATCGTGTCGACCGCGGAGTCTGCACGTGAAATAGGAAAGTAATAAGAGAAGCTGGAAGGTCTACTATCATAGGATACCTAATATAATCAACCCATGGCAACAAAGAGCGGACTGACAAGCATTGCTTCAGTGTAACCATACATTTATTAATCGTACTCTAAACGAAAAAAAAAAAACCAAATATGTCCCTGAGAGCCCAGAGTCAGTTGTCTTAGACCGTAACTCTATTAGCCTTCAAATACTCATAATCCGGCATAGAATCTCGCGTGGCCTTCTCAAGCAACTCAGCAATCTCATCCCCAAACTCGACACGCCACTTAGCAACTTCCTCATCAATATTAACTGATAATGGAGCCTTGTCCTTAACAACACCAGTCGACTCCTGCAAAGTCGACAACATGATAGAAGCGGTATTCTTACGAAACGCTAGCTCCCCAGGCTCACCAACGTTTGTACTTTCAGACGTCTCGGATTTTTTCTCAGAGCCAGTCCACTCAAACCGCATAGACGCAGTGTCCAGACCAGCCTTCTCACAGAATCTAACCACAGCACCGGGGTTATGAATCACGTCATTGGCATCAATGACCAAAGGCGCGACAGACTCATCCGGCTGCTCGAGACACCAATCGAATAATTTCCGCGTCCATTTCATGCTCATGTTCTTGATCGACACACCCTTAATGTCGTCGTCTTCAATGATACCGGCTTTAGACATCTTCTGCATAGCACGGTACATCGATGGCAAAGCTAGTGCCGGATGACGGATGATGAAGGCCAGCTGCCAGGTGCGCAGGTACTCGTCCGGCATGACAGTTTTGTTATTGGCAGAGAATGTCTGCGAGGGTCCGTAGCGTTCTGGCGTGGATACATTGAACTCTTTCGCGTTCTCTTGCTCTTCGGTGCTGTTTATGTTCCCCGCGAAGAAGCAGGGGTTGAGGATCCAGAAGGCGTGTTCTTTGGCAAACATTATCTTGTTATCGGCGCGCGCTCGGCTGGAGTAGTCTTCTAGCTCGTTGAAGCACCGTTGGATGGCGGCTTTGGTCTCGCTCTTCTCATCTATTGTCCATTGTTCTAGCGGCTTGCCGATGCGACTATCCTTGCTGGCTGTCATGAATGCATCGTAGAAGAAGTAGCCCCCCTTCGGATTGGTGAGGACATTCGGTTGTTTGGGGATGTTGAGGATCTTCAGGAGAAGATTCGAGGCGGTGCGAGGCACACTGACGATAAGGACTCGGTGTGGTTGATCATTGTTCTCAGGGGTGTTGGTAGTGACAGCCATGGTGGATGGCTTTTTGATGTATAGGATATGGTGGCTGAATGATAATTAAGCTTAACTTGCTGCGAGGCAATGAGCGTGAGAAGAGATGGCTACATTCTGGAGTCGGATGGTGTCATCTCACTTAAATAGATTCGACTCACCTTGACCAAATTTTCCCTGGCCCCTCTTTATGCATGCAAGTGGACCGAATTCTGACCTCCATGTGGTATTCAAAGTCCGACGCGGCGGGGGTTGAGCAGATAGTATTTCCTAAGGGAATCGGACTCGGTATCACCCGCTCCGGTCGGTGTTTGTCGCTGTTTATAAACGCCGAGAGAGGGTCGACGATGAGGTCCTTGATTGGACTGCAGTAGTGATCGGCAATTTACATCTTGAAGAAACAGCAATGGTACGAGGTATGTCTCAGACCTCGGCCTTCCCATCGGAGGGTATGATCAGTCGCGTCGGATGATACGGTCCGTGGTCACTGATCGACATGGGTTAGTCAGTGATGTGTTTTGCCTTGAGTTATACACTTACGTTATGCATTCATCTGTCACACATCTGTACGTCGTGAATACAGGCAGTGGCAGTGTAGAGTGGAACAGCAAGATTTGAAAAATTGAGGATGTTTTTGATTCTTAAGGCTGGTCTGGAGCCTCGAAGGCCCAGTCAGAGACAAACAAAACTAGATATCGAGTTTGAAGTACAACATATGAACCGCTAAAGATCCGGTGTCTATGACTTGACAAGGTTATCTTGTAGATATACTAAGCCAATACACTAAAGCATACGTTTCCGCAAAGTCAACCCGGCTCTTACTAAACGTACTTTCACCGAGGAAAGTCAGAATCACCGCTCTCACTCTCTGCCTTAACCAGACTCTGCTCCCTCGTGAGTGTCGGGTTGCGAATAACTAAGGCGAAGGCAATCAAAGGGACTGTCAAGCAGATACCCGTAATACATAGCAGACGCTGCGTTTTCTGGTAGGCGAGAATGACGTTGTCTCGGTTGGGAGTACCCACGGGATTGACCGCCGCAAATGCAAGAGGCTGGGCGTAGACATACGCAGCGAGTGTTTCGTTGCCGAGTCTATGATTCAGTTCAGAAGGCAAGACTTGGTTCCAGATCGCACCGGAGACAGTATTTCCAAGTGCGCTGCCGATGTTGTAAGCGGCGAGGTAGATACCAGTTATCACGGCAAGATCTATGGGATTGTTAGCCCTAGAGTCTTTTGTTTGGTAAAATTAAGCCCGTTGGCGAGTACTAACGTTCGTGCTTAGACGCAACCTGAATGCTGGCTTGAGCTGGGTAAGGGAACATTCCACCAGCTAGGAATTTTCGTTAGATAATTTGAAGCAACGCTGGAATGTAGGTGATAACCCACCAATACCCAGCAGAACTTGCGCACCAATGACACCTGAATGGCTGGAGTGCGCAACGCCACCTCGGAAATAGATGAGGATTCCGAACGCAACCATGAAGAGGAGGGTTCCGGCCACGATGAAGGGCTTCAATTGGCGAACTTTCATAACAATGAGGCCGAGAATAACGCCAGTAATAACAGAAACAAAACTGTAAAGAGATGTGATCCGAGTCGCACTGAGAATTGATTCGTCGAAGCTCACGTAGAGAACTGTGTACAGGAAATCTCCTTGCAGGTACCACGCTACACAAATGTTAAATCTCGACCATGGATGGATGGTATCCTGAAGGACGTACCAGTGTTGAGCATAATGGGGATTCCAAGGGCGCCCCAGACAGCACGGTCTTTGAGAAGCTAGAGCCGAATCGAGTTAGTAAGAATCATAAATGGCTTCAATCATTTGACTTACCTTGAATGGCAGCATCGGGTATTGGCAGGTCCTCTCCCAGACAATCCAGACCGGGATCAGCAAAAAGCCTATGATAAGTGGCGCAATTACCTTCGCTGTCTTCCACTGTGCACTTACGCCTCCAGCGAGGGTGAATGGAACAAGAATACATGCCAGCATGGCAATCAACAGAATGTTTCCGACGATGTCCAGATGCCAGAACAGTTCTATAGCCATTTTCTTTTTTCCTAGCAGCTGGAGAGAGCTTTTGTAAGATTCAAGTGCCCCAGTCTTCTTCGCGCGTCGGTTGACGATAAAAAGGACTGCAATAAGAGGGAGAGCACATGCGGGATAGATTATAGCAAACATGCCGATGCCCCATCGCCATGTGGTGACCTTGAGAACGGCATCAGTCAAGTTGCCGCTGATCCAGGTATTGATCTAAAGGAGATTCATTAAATTAATCAGTTAGCATGTAGGAGTACGTATTGTACGCACAATAAACGGCAAGGCCGGGATGTAGGAGAAAAGAAGACGAGATCGGCTGGAAGTCACATCGGCGATTAGAACTTCGACCAGAAGCATAATACTGGTGTATCCAATCTAGACAATATTAGACACGGGCCAAGATTTCATGCGCGTATATCTCACCTGGTAGATAACAGCCCCCGCAGCGAAAGCCTCCAAAGTCGTTGCGCATGCCTCCACTATAGTACCCACAGTATAGAAGACGATCGAGAGAAGGATAAGTTCCACTCTGCCGAATACATCTGCAACCTTTGCCGCAGTGGGCTGTGAAAGAATAGTCAGCTGCTGTGATGAATTGTTCGTCTCTGGATATCCATACCTGTGCAGCAGCAGCGATGACGGCTCGGAGAACATTGATGGTCGCAAGAAGACTGTGTTCGCCGTAACTCTGAGTAGCATAGGGCTGTTCAAGGCATGAGGTGTTAGTATGCTCCATTCTCGTCGATATGTCTTGACGTCAGAACTGCGATATACGTACCTGGTACGTGTAACGAACAGTTCCATCCAAGCCATACACATAGGCGATCAAGAAAATAGCAATAAAGAGGAAGATCCGATCCCAAAATCGGAAGTGTGATGTAATAATTTCGATACGACGAACACCCGGACTACCTTTGCCTAGCAGGCTGACAGGCTCACCAAGTGGGATGGCTTGGTTGCGGGGCTCCTTCGAGTCCTCACTGACGCGGTGGTCAACGTTGGTCTCATTAACGAGGGACATGGTAATCGTGCAGAATCAGGTCTCACTCGGATTACCTATGTAGAGAGGAAGAACATAGGGGAAAGACCAGAGAAATGAAAATATGACTGCCAAGAAAAAAAGTCCAAGATAAAACTGCTCGCTCAATCTTATCTGATGGGCCTGTCACCTGTCTAGGTAAGTACCGAGGCGCGCTAGGAGCGTTTGCCTGGGAAAACGTCCACTCACGCAGCTTTAATGTGGCCCACCTCGTATAGAGCCATGGCTCAGGGTTGTTATTTGACACAGATTTCCCGCTCTGGGCTTGGCTAGTGGCAATTAGTATAAGTCTGTGGATATTGTATCGGATGACTTCCTATTCTAGCATAACAACCTCGGGTCTTGAGTGAACGTGAAGAGAAGATGTCGCGGCTGAGCGACTAACTGTCTCAGTATAGAACTACGTCCGTGTCGAAAGAGAACATTGTTTTGTAAAGTGTATAACAAGAAGAAATAAAGTGAACCCTGTTGAACCCTGTCTCTGTCCAGGTGGAGCCCTGGCCTTTGGCCCCGGACTAAATCCATTACGTAAGAATAATGCCCGGGCCGCACACCACATGGCTGGTCCGACGCGTCTTGGCGGACGTGAACCTCGCACTCATACAATTACTTCCGCTGTCATCACAATCCAGCAGATTTCACATCCAATTGAACTGTCTTGGTCAGACTTTCTGCAATGATGGCTGCTTCCTGGCCAATTTTTCCACTGGAGCTTTGGTTGATCATCTTTCAGTATCTTCGCGACGAAGAAAGCCCACAACATATCAGCAGGCTCGCACAGACATGCAAATCTTTTCATCAAAATATTAACCATGTTATATATCAGTCTGTATGATTAAGACAGGCAGAGAATGCTCGCCGTTTCGCCAATACTGTGTCCAGTCGCCCAGACTTGGCAGCACTTGTCAAAGAAGTGCGACATGCCGGTGATATGGGCTTTGCAGACTTTGCTGGCTACTCCGACTCTTTCTACGAAGCGCTCACCAAATTGAAAAACCTACAAACCCTGGTCATGAGAGATACTCTCCGCCCAACTAACGAGTACACGCCACAGGCGGCATTACTGGTAGTGCTTACCGAAATTTACTACGAGGCCCAGGATTCACGGGTGAGCAATTGGTGTTTGGAAGATTTCATGATGGATATGGATGATCAAGGCTACCCTCTTGGCGATGCGTTGGATCCGTTTGGCCTTGGATTCCATCCTTGTGAAGAGGACTTTTCACTCCAAGGCTGGGCGCAAGAGCTGGCCGAGTCCACATATTTCAGCCGAGACTACCTCAAGGACTTGATTCCCGCACTGCGAACATGTAAGTTGCCCAATTTCGGGGCTTGTCGAAAATATCTATTCTTACATAGGACAGGTCATATTGGAACTGATTCTCCTGACCCCGAGACGGATATCTATCACTCTTCTATCGATTTTAATGAGACAATTTTCGCACTGCCACATTTGCAAAAACTCTGCATCACTGGCGCTAAATTTTGGAAATTTGGGTTGCAAAAAGCACCAATTGACAATCGTGCCGCGAGTCTAAAAGAGTTGCTGCTTCTCAACTGTTGTGTCCGCTGAAGATCTCACGCTCATGGTTCGATTTCCACGTGCCTTGGAACGGCTTACCATTAGAGTTCCTATGTCACTAAAATTTCAGTACGAGGAAGACGATTATGTATTCTTCTCTGAGAGATTGAGTTTTCAGCATTCTAAATCCTTGGAGTACTTGGATTTAGACATTTATGGAGGCGCAGATCATGGCCTTGACCTCAACCCCTTTGATGTTCTCAAAGAAATCATAATCACCCTCATTCAACACTTGGTGATCCTGACGAAGAAATGATCATGGCACGTAGTCTCCAGCGACTTACAATTCGATACGAGGAAGGGACTCGTCTACCACTGAATTCTATCCTCGAAGAGCTCGAGAATAAGAACCTTCCCAATATGCGCTCTGTGATATGCCAGATACCCGACAATATCTGCGAAGGTACTACCAGCTCGGAGATATGCGTCGAGGCCGAGGCTTTCAAATCAAATTTCAAAGAGTTAGGGGTGGAGCTATCAACAGAACTCGTTCCATACCCTCTCACCATGCCGAAATATGATGCCTGCCCGTGTGAAAACTTGACGTTCTTTCATCAATTCCCCTCCCATCCCCGTGTCAAATCTCGCCCACCAAACGACCATACTACCAGTACAACCGATGCGGGTCACAGCAACCCTCATCCCGCCGGTGTGATTTCCTTCGATGATTATGACCCATATTGTGATGACCCATACGAGGGTGACCATCCTTCCTTGTATGATATGAGCCCACCTACTCCTCCCCGAATGCCTACCTTCACGGATTACGATGACTATTGTGATTGGGCGTACGGTCGTTGACTGGAGGAAATCTCCGTCTTCCCTTTCAAGGCGTGCCTTTTCCACAGTGCCTGTTTGTTTGTTTGTTTATCCTGTATTCTATCTTCGGTCTTTCTTCAATAACCTTCAATATATATTTGGCTACGCGCCGCCGTGCGGATTGATGCTAACGGCCTAGCGGCCTGAAGTCTGCCTACGTCTGATTTCTAGGATATCCTTGATGGAGTCTTTGATATAACTGGAAGCCATGTCTGTTCTAAAAAAGTACAAACTACAGATAATATTGTAAGGAATTCAGGTTTACATGTGCGAGGATAAATGTGAAGCGAAGTTGGAACATTGCAATAAGACTTGGCTATAAGTATTGCCTGGAGATGAAAGCAATTACATCTATATTTGAGGACATTATCACTATCAAAGTCGTGACCTGAATGAACCTTGTGAACCAATCGGCGAAGGCAAGCTATCCTGACTGAGACGATTCATCTCGGGATCATAAAGCGACTCTGCCTCGACAGTCGCCCTGATGCGCTTTCCAAAATACTCGATCTCCACTGTCTCACCTTCGCTAACACCCCCAGGAAGCCAGGCGTAGGCAATCGGTTTGCGAATCGTGTATCCAAATGCAGCGGCGGTGACATATCCAGCCGCTTTTCCATTATAGAACACCGGCTCCTTGCCAAGGATCATCGACCGACCATCATCAACGGTCAAAGCCCGCAGTCGCCGCGAAGGTACTTGGTTGGAAAGGCGCTGAATAGCGGCTTTGCCGACGAAGTCATCTTTCTTATTTGCGTCGACAGCAAATGAAACACCAGCCTCGAAGGGATTGTGCTCTGTCGTCATATCCGCACCGTAGGTCCGGTATCCCTTCTCGAGGCGCATTGAGTTGAACGCACTGCGACCTCCAGCAATGAGTCCGTGCAGCTTGCCAGCTTGCCAAATTGTGTCCCATAGGCGTTGGCCATACTCGGCGCTGGTTTGGATTTCCCAACCTAGTTCGCCGACATAGGACTTTCGGATCATTGTAACAGGGATACCCGCGAGAATTGTTTTCTTCAAAGTGAAGTAGGGAAGTCCCTTGTTGGAAACGTCGACCGTGCTGATTCCAGCGATAACATCCCGGGATCGAGGACCCCATAGTCCGATGCAGCATGTGCTGCCTGTGATATCGCGGACCTGGGTCCATTTCCCGGGGGCACCTTGTTCCTGGACTCGAGCTTCTCTGGTAAGATACGCCAGATCTGTTGCAGTGTTCGCTCCAATTTGGAACACATCGTCGTCAAGTCGTAGTACAAAAATGTCACCCCGAATGCCACCGTGATCATTCAGGAGGAGCGTATAAGTAACGGTTCCTAGCTTGGTGGTCATGTCACTCGTAGTGAGGCGCTGAAGCAGACCGATTGCTCCGGGACCGCGCACTTCGAACCGATGGAAAGCAGTCATATCAAACATAGCAACAGCATTCCGCGTCTTCCACGCTTCAGCAGCAGAGATCGGCGAATGAAACTGCGCCGACCAGGCATCTCGTTCGACAGATTGCCATGATGGCGGGAGAGATTTGACAAGATCTTTGTTTGCCTCATACCACCACGGCCGCTCCCAGCCTCCAACCTCGAGGAAGAAAGCCCCCAGCTCCAGCTGGCGAGGGTAGAATGGACTAACACGCAAATTGCGGGGCGACGTACGCGGCTGAAGTGGGTGGACGATGTCATATATTTCAACGAAGTTCTGCTGTGCGGTCTCGCTCACGTAGTCTCGATTGAGTTGGATCTCTTCGAAGCGGGATAGCTCACATTCAGACACGTCGATGTCCGATCGGCCAGTTGTAAGTATTTGGGCTAGAGCTCGGGCGACGCCTGCTGAATGTGTAACCCATACGGCCTCGGCTACGTAGAAGCCGTCGAGGTGGGATGGTTGACCGAGGATTGGGCCACCGTCGGGTGTGAAGGAAAATATGCCATTGAAACCGTCTGCGATCTCTGTGTCCCGAAGAGCGGGGAGAAGCTCTTGAGAATCTTTCCAAGCCGGGTCGAAATCTTCGGTTGTGAAAGCAAGGCGGGAGGGCATGTTTTGTTCGTCAACATCTTTCGGAGTAAGGCCCAATGATGACGCAACGACGGGCATTGGACGGTGTGCGTAAGATCCAATGCCGTACTGCCCGCCGTGTTCACGGTAGTAAAGACGCTTGTCCTGGTGTCGGAGGATTGGTAGTGCGGCATTCATTCCATTGGGTAAGCTGTTGACATCTCGTCCTTCGAGAGCAGGTACTGCCGTAGTCTTTGCATACTGGTGCCCCAGCGGGAGCAAAGGAATCTCCACACCGACCATGGCTCCCAATTCAACACCCCAGAACCCAGCGCAAGAAACAACAATGTCTGCGGGGATAGTGCCGTTTGGAGTACTGACTCCGGTGACACGTCGACCGTCCCTCTTAATCCCCGTCACGGGGGTATGGCCCAGATAACGAACACCGGCCTTGCTCGTCCGTTCAATCAGCAGCTGCGTTGCTCGGGCTGCTAGTGCGAGACCATCGGTCGGGACGTGCAGACCGCCCAACACCATATCGGTATTCAGATGAGGATACATCTTGAAGCACTCCTCGGCGCTCAGTAGCCGCGCCCCGATTCCCCATGATGAGGCGTATCCATGTTTCCGCTTCAGATCCTCCAGTCGTGCGGGAGTTGTTGCTACTTCGAGACTGCCGACCTGGTTGAAGCATTTGTGTCCATCCTTCTCTATTGAAAGAAGCTTCTCGGCTGTGTATCGTGCGAAGTATGTCATTGTCTTGGAGGGGCTTGTCTGGAATACGAGTCCGGGGGCGTGTGAGGTCGATCCGCCCGGCATATGCAACGGGCCCTGCTCGACAACAGTAATATCCTTCCATCCTCGAGAGACCAACTCGTCGGCGAGGTTGGTACCCACGATGCCTGCTCCAATGATGACGACACGTTGTGAAAGGGACATTGTTATGTGATATATGATAGTTAGGTGTTACACCCATTAGAAAGCGGCAGGCACCGCTTCTATTTGTATATTCACATACTTGATAGGTTGTACAATGTGTGAAATTCTGGTACGTATCTCCCCGCACCGCGTATCGGTGTGTGATAAGTATATAGTGTGTCCTGAAGCTGACGATAAAGATATTACGCCCCGCACGGGTTCCGGCGATGTAAAGCCGAGAATTGTAGTAATGAATACCGATGCCATTTTCGGAGCAATCGGAATGGAGGGGTATATCGTTGGATGCCCCACGTTCATATAGATAATGAAGCTTGTCAGGTCAATCAGAACCGGCCAACCAGCTTTATGTGGAGCATTTGCGTTGACAATGGATAACATTTCCTTTTCGGGTCAAGGGTCTAAATCTTAGGCTATTTTAGGATGAAGGGAGCGTCATAATTTCCGCATTGAAGTTAGGATTATTGGTTTACAATCAAAGCCGCATAAAATTACAGCAAGTCAAGTCTACATGTTGGACGGTTTATGGCCGAAAGTCGCGTTCTAAAGGCCACCGAAAGCAGGGTATCGATCCGGGGTTATACTTTGAAGAAAGCAGAAGTGTGCCAAACATATTGTAGGGCTTTGAACTATATATATTAAGTTAATACTAATAGATAGCTAATTGAATCTAATTACTAGCTGTCCAGTTATTTTACAGGAGATCCGTAGGAAATAGCAAGACTCAGTCTATTTGAGATATACTTACTGCTTGTCTACATAGAACGGCGAACTCTGTGCACACATGCACGCACTTAACTTGTGCCTAGAAGACGCTGTAAACGAGTTCCTATAAGCACGATAACTTCATGGACTGAAAGAGGCGATCATATACCCTCACTATCAAGCTTTTTCCGTTGTAGTCGATTGCGAAAAAAACCATTCTAGTTAGTTTACAAACACAGACCAATTTCGATCGACCATAGCGTATGGTAAAAGTTCTTTATTGCCCTAGCAATCTCCGGAGATTCAGTTAAAGCGTCAAACTTATAGTTTACAACTAGTATTTATTATTTAAGCAACAGTATCCGAGCTTTAAACGGATCTAAATGTTTAGATTCGAGCTAGCTACTTATAGTAAGATAATAGGTGATCGTGCAATAAATTGTTGGTAATGAAGCATTGTCATTGGCAGAACATTCCAACATCATAGACGAAAATGATGCAATCGCCATTCTATGGCCTCTGATTGGCCAATGTGAGAATGGATGCAGGTGCGTTCAATGGAGGCGTGGAGTATACAAATCAGTTGCTTATAGTTCTAGATGTGACATATATCGCCAACATCTCTGTCTATGAACTTTTATGATACTTAATGATGTCCTAAAGAACATGCTAACCCCCAAACTATGCGGGGCAGATGTTCGATGTTCGGCGGGAGCCGATCCCGTGGGGGACCCCAACAAGAAACAATCGATCTGAGACCTTCATCCTTTCTCAAGAGAAACACCTCAGCTTGAGGACAGCAATGCTATCATCTGCATTCTTCGCCCATTTCTCATCATGACCGAGCCTGGCCAAACTCCTATTCCCGAGGAGCCACCTAACGCAATCCTGACCGACTCCCACCCGACTCCCGCTCGCGACGCCCGCGATGACAACCTGGAAGCATTAGAGCTCCATGAGATCCAAACGCGAGAAGACAATGAACTAGACTACTCAACCCCATCAGGTTCATCTGGCGATGAGAACCACGTGCCCACATATCGAACTACGTCTCAAGGGGATTCCCGGCGGAGACGCGAAGCCCGCAAGGGCCTTTGGAGCCAGATCTGTCGATTCTGGACTCGAAATGTTACTATAACTGTGCCGCAGAAGAGCAATCGAGATCACTTTGGTATGTTGTACTTTGGACACACTGTTGGCACTCTAGTTGACATGTTCAAAGCCCTGGAAAGGACGTTCCTTGCGTACATCCGCACGTCCATGGTTATCGCTATGCAAGGGGTGCTTGTTGCTCAACTTTTCCGTCTGCAACGGCCGTTGGAAAAGGTCCATCGCCTGTCGTTCTATCATGTCGGTATCCCGCTTGCGGTTGCCTGTCATTCCGTGGCTGTTGTCGTCGCCTTGATAGGTTCATTCCGATTCTGGAGACAACAAAATGCTATTGCTCGTGGGAAAGTTTATGCTGGGGGGTGGGAATTAAATTCAGTGGGGATTTTACTATTCCTTGTAAGTCATCACTAGGACGATGCTCGGCCTCTGAATTCTAACCAACTCCCTACAGGTCATTGCGGCGACTTTGGTACTTACTGTGATCATCTCGATTGAAACCAATTTGAGCCCCAGTGCGCTTTCTAGTCGAATATCATGGCCTTGATGTCCATTGAAATGGCGAAGGAAAAGTTTACCCGAGATGAGCACATTAATGAGCATACATAATACATAATGAATAATTCATACTTGTGATATTATTCTATGATCCGCATGTTTTTCAAATCCATTGCCGTTCAAAGCTGTCTCGCTTTCTCGCAGATCACATTCCCATTTCTACCCTTGAGCATTCTGTTCAATGAGATCGATCCTCAATGGGAATAAGCGTTCTCTAGGAAAGTTGCGTGAACCTTACCTACTTGTTGGGGACGCCGCCTCCCAAACAGCCACCCAGCCTGCGTCTTCTGATGGCATTCCCTCCCGAGCATGAATCTTTGCGCCGTGTTGGCATCCCCAGGCAGCACTACCCTGTCACCTATTGGGCAAGGGCAAAAAGAAGCGTATGGGTGGGTATCTTTTATACATAACCAGCATTCCATATCCCCGAGTATGGTGACGTTTAAACTGCCTACGGCCCTACTTAGGGCACATATTACGCTCTAACCCCCGTAATCAACCTCAATTACTTCGACACCCAGTCGCTGGCACATTACCTTCATCATAATCACACCCATTGGCTGTGTTTTCATGCTTCTTGATCCTGCTATGAGTAACACCAATGGCACTGCCAGATCCCAAAGTCCTGCTGCAGGTGAAACCAAGCGAAGCAATCATGCAATGTAAGAAAAGGATAACAATTAGCATGCCGGTGATTTTCGGCCCCTGTCAGGTGGGGAGGATGTTACGCTTTTTCTTCATGATCATCGAAAGGAAAATGAGAAAGAACCGCAGTCTTCTCCATATCCGTGCTTGAATGTTCCATCAAACCATCCTTGATGCTCTGGATGACAGCCCTACTCCGTTCAAGTTCATCCTCATCTGAAACCCAGCCAAGGGCATCTGTCCCGATTAGATCCCTCATCTCGCCCAGTTCCTGTAGTTTCTCCTGTTCTTGGCGATAATCCTCCGAACATTTCTGTATCTCTTCCTCGGAAAAGTGAATTGGACACTCAGCAGATCTTGTCTGTGCTCCTCCATCTAGCGACATAGGCCAATTCTTGAGGACCTGTAACATAACATACTTTAATGAGGTAGAGTCTCCTTCCCATGGAGCCTGTGCATGATGAAAAAGCTTCGCTCGAAGCATATAATTTTCGGTTCTGATGGCGTCAAAATGATCCGGTAGGGATTTCATGGTCAGTGCAGCATAATAGAAATGGACGCTCCGTCTCCGCATCGTCTCTTGAACAGTTTCCTGTTCTTCATCGCTGAGTTGATCAAAATTGGCCGGCAGTTTGACCTCTGGCTTAGATAATGTCTCGGATAATAGATCGCCCCAATTTTGAAAATGTTCGGGGATTCCGGCGCACAAACAGAGGGGTAGAATTACTGCATGTTGCCAGTCAATGACCCCTACCACGTCATTAGACGTATTCACCAGGATATTATTAGGTGAAAAGTCCGGATGGCGAAGAGTCGGGCGAGACATACGGCCTGATGGGACGTCGAGGTAGGGCGCTAACTTCAAATAATTGGCAAGGAGATATTGGTACGGAATAGGCGAGAGGCTTTGGAACTGGTGTATTTCTCGTAGGTATCTTTCGACGTGTAGGCGTGGTTTACCAAATCTTTTACAGAATTCTATCTCGCGCTTTGCGGGTGCTTCGAAGCATGTGGAAAAGGTAGTCCCTGGCTCAAAGTCAATATTGCTAAAGAAATAGGAACTCCATGGAGACTTACATGGGCCGCGGTCAACCTCTAGTAAGGCCCGTTCTTGATACCACCATTCATGCTGTACAGTTGGACCAACAACGATATCGTCTGAGACTGGGATAAAGTGTTGTGAGCTGTCGAGATCACGGCGGTGATAAAGACTTCCGCTTGCTGGGAAGTGGATACTCATAAACCGTCTCTCCATATCAACAATCTGTCTCATTATTTTGACCCGAGTTTTGGTATCCATAGAGAACCACTGGTCACTTAAGGGTATTCCTTCAAGCCTTTCAAGTAGAATATATTCAGTTCCAACGGGGTTTGTCTGATCTGGAGAATATGTAAGGACTTTAGGGACTGGGACCCCATGAGCACGTAGATGTGTGAGTGTGGCAGCTTCACTAGCCACTACATAATGTTTCGGAATAGTAATCTTGTATGGTAACCTTGCAAGAACTGCATATCCATCATTGAAGGTGAGTTGCAAGACACGGTTGAAGCCCCCCTCGGCGAGTTTTGTGATCGAGGATACGCCATCGAGGCGTCGACCGACAGAATGACAGGCTGCCCTTACAAGGGCATCCACGTCGAATTGAATACAGCGTTCAGCGCGGCGGAGCTCTTCGTTAAATCTAGTTTAACGGAGCAAGTTAGTTTATCGCAATTGACGCGTTCAGCAACCGTCACGACTCACAAAAGCGCCCCGAAGTGTACTCGAACAGATCAGAATTACTACTCATAGAGGACATTCTTCTGGGTAATGACTTCGGGTATCGACCCAAAAACCTCGAAAAGCGTCGCATTTTCAAGGAGAGGGCCAGGGTGCGTACCAAGCTACATTTCCAAGCTTAACTTTTAAGTTACCCGTGGACCCGCCAACAAGGGTATTACTCAGCACGAACGCCTCAGGTGCCCACCGATAGACCCTGATTTCCAAGGCGTCAAGTGCTGAATCAGCATATGGCCGGCCCTCCATGTTGTGTAACGTGCCAGGTCTTGTTAAAGAGAAGAGGGCATTCAATTAAAAATAACTAAGATGGAGAGAAATAAGAAGCAAGTTGCAAAGTGGGCAGCAGCCAGTTAATATAGCTGACCACTTTGCAAGCGTTGCAAACCTCGAACATCTCGCTTAGCTATGTAACAATCTATCTAGTAAACAATGCAAACAGTAGACGAGCAAGCAAATGAGCGAGCAAGCAAACATGAAGCATATGATAGCGATCCATGTGGATCGTGACATGTTGTAGTTAATTATTTTGCGATGAGGAATCTAGCTAGAAGGGCCATGCTCGAGAATAAACATTGTAAAGCCCTATGGATTAAGAAACCCTTTTGGTCTTTTCTAATGAAGATACAAAATGCACCGATATCCTTTTGAATAGTCAGCGATTAGAACTCTATGGTACAATATGGAAGACTCCCATATGATACTCGGGCCACATTGGGCTGAGTATTCTAAGAAGTTGGTAACCAACTATCTGACGCAGAAAGGTAGGTCAGGTCATCAGATTTAGCACGAGGGATATGGTATGGACATCAATTGCACCACCATTGCACTACCTGGCTGATTGCAGTGGCCCGTATAATAGACCAAAAGAAGATGTTCAGACCAATCATCACTGTAGCAGGGGTTCTCGCAGTTGAATTGGGCTGGGCAAGGCTAAGCTCCGGAAAATGCCTTTTATCTTCTATTCTCTGTTCATTCAATGAAAAGCAATATACTGTCTTCGAAAAACATATGAGAGTCCTAGATTCATAAAACTAAATGGGTACAAGACCCAGAAGGTTTTAGGCGATGATAGCCTTCCTTCTCATCTCTTCTCCTCTCCTCCTCTCCTCTTCTCTTTGCTGTGTTATCAAATGAACACTTTCCTTGACGACTAGGACTGCCTTGTCACAGTGAGAATGGAACTTACAAAGCTTTGTAAATGTAGGAATAGCTAGCTGCCCATAAGCCATGCGAAGAGGCCAGATGATATTTATAGGGATTATGACAGGACGGCATAAGTTACATATCGATGTAGACGAACGAAGTAACTGGGACCTGCTTTGCATCACACACATGGTCAATTTATTATGAGTTGAGCTTTATACCACCGAAATTGTATGCTCGTCACTACAAAGTAGACACGTACTGCATATATTTTTATGAAGAAAGATTATTTGGCCGAAGATGCATCGGAACAAACCTTCCCGAGCTCTATCGAAATATGTTGTATAATAATAATCGGCCAAGCCACCGAACAAAATTTGACGTCGGCGCTCGGTTCCCATTCAAACTGTTTCAAATAGAAACGCCCCATAAGGTCCTGTAAGGCGAGACGATCATTCACCAAGCCCCATTTCGAATTCCGATCTTTCCGACGCAGTGAACATCGACGATTCTTGCCACTTCGGGCATTAGACCAGGACATTTGTAGGCAGCAAAGGCATCCTTCCTCGTATACGATGTCGGATCGGCGAGCCGTGCCGTCACATGGCACCGTGAAATACTACAAGATTTGTACATTGTACGTTGTCCCTACATTGTAAGCTCAGCTGTCTACCGGAAGCCCTCGGTTCGCAAGCGGAGCTGACTGGACCCCGCGGCATTCGAAGCGGAGACTCATGCCGGGTGTAATTCGAACCTTGGGGGTGTGGAACAGGTTATTGTCAAAACGAGCTGATACCGCAATAACCCAATACGAAGTACGGAGGAGAAGAAAGTCACAACGGTCAGGGGGTCTGGATGTTGCTCGGATTGGCAGTTGATAGCAAAAGGTACATTGGATGAGGGAGGTGGGGACTCCTTATGGACACTTGTCAGATGCTCTCGCAGACAAGGCGGTCCGAGATACCTAAAGGGGACTACTGGTCATGTCGATGTATTCCAATACTCGGTTATTTAGTTTCTTGGCGCGCATTGGGCCGCTCGGATTTCTCCAAATGCGTTGCTTCACGAGAGTGGGCTCCTTGGCAAGTGGCGATCCAGCCTTATTTTTTGGATGTGGATGTCTTGGCTCTTTCAGGGGAAAGATAACGGGTCATTTTTGGACTCGTTTTTGGTAATACCGTGTTCGTGTGATGGCTGTTTTATTAGGACCTCGGAAGAGTGAAGACTTGTCACGCCTCCTTTTTCCCTTCTGGGGTCAATTTTCAATGCGAGTCATGGGACTTGAGTTCATCTGGGGCATTTGGCCATAGCCGCCTGGGGAGGCTGCATCGCTTACGTGTCTAGCAAGTTGGGGTCTCATTCTCATTGGTTTTATACAAGTCATTCAGGTATTGATTTTATGTTCATATGTACATCCGAAATTATCCACAGTCACTGATAGTTCTCGGCTTCATTGTCTCCATTTCGTAGAGAACAGAAGCCAGAGAGAGAGAAAAATAAAACACCAAGAATGAGCTGAGCAAATATGATAAAAGTATGCTGAAAGGAAAGAATCAAAATGTGAATCATAGAAAAGAAAATGCAAGATATGAGAAATAAAACAGTGTCATATATATGAGAAATAAAACAGTGTCATATAGACACTTGACAGAAAGCGAAGACCGCCAGGGCATTGCTTCTTAAGAAATCATTCCAACGTCTTTACCAAAACGCTCCAAAATTAAGCTGTCTGCATAGGAATGCTAGTCATGGGCAGCTGGGGCGGGGCCTGCTCACCCTCCTCGAACATCCACTTCTCCAATTTTTGCGCCATGCGTGCGCAGAAGGGGTCAACATATCCAGTCCACAAGGTGGCGCAGAAGTAGACCAGCACGATCCAAGCGGGGATACTGATGGCCACGACCCAAGGGGCGCGGATGGGGATCCAGTGCGGGTGGAGGGGTTCGCCGTCCTCGCCGTATATCGGGTTGCCCTTTTCGTCGACAATGTCACCGTCCCAGGGCTGACCGGTAATGCCGTAAAGCATCCAGCAAAGAACAGTGCGCAAGAGAGTGCCGTGCACGAGGTAAACGGCGAAACTCTGCTTGCCGAGCCAGAGGAGGAGACGGCTGGAGAGGAATTCCTTGGTGGAGGGAGAGATGTAGATGGCGAAAATTATGAGGTCGACGCCCAAAGCGGAGTAGCGTCTGCCGACGTTGACCTCCGGAGGGAAGATATAGTGAGAGGCCCGTTCCATGTAGGCCGACCATGTAGCCCATTCTGGGTGTTCTCCGGGGTACGAGCAAACGAAGAGACCGAGGCAGACCAGGAGACCTGCTACAATCTTGCGACCCCAGCTGTGGCGTTCGACGAATTCTTTGAAACCGTTCTCATAAGAGAGATCGCTGAGGAACATGCCGTAAACTGCCTGCATTTGGAAGGTTTCTGTCTCTTGATTAGGACCAGGGGTGGGGATTTGGGTTTCGCGTAGAACTTACCGGTGTTCTTGGCTGCGTTCTGGTGGAAGTAGAGGTACATGCCTACGTAGATGGCCATGCGGAATCGGAACTTGCAGAACATTGTCGCGCAGATAAGGACGTAGACCAGCATAGATGCCTGGAGGAGAGGAAGTAAAGCCCACTGGTGGTCATCGTACGCCATATAGCCCGTGGTCCAAACTTCCAGGAAGGTCTTGAACAACCGCACAAACTCCTCCCAGAAAGTAGGCGCCAGATCGACGGCGGCGTAACGGCACCACCAGCAGTCGGATCGATTAGCGGCGACGAAGGCGCCAAATTGTGCCATGACCCATGAGATGAGCAAGGCGATAGTAGCGGGGAAGATGAGGCGAGGTGGACGACGGAAGGCACTCTTGCCCACGGATGTGAAGGATCCAAGGATGTCGCCATTGCGAGACTGTTTGAGCGGCTTGAGGGCACAAACGTAGCCAGTCAAGAAGGCGAAGATTGTGACACCCAAACGGCCTTGCCAAGGAATACGCAAGACGGGCCACTGCAGAATTCGGGGAGGGGAGTCAACATCGTCGCGGGGGGCAAAGAGATCATAATCCCATCCGCGGGCCAGGTGAGTGAGGATAACTAGGAATGAAGCGATTCCTCGTAGGCCCTATTCACGATGTTAGTAACAAGCCTCATCCCTATAAGGCTGAGATAGATAACGCACATCAATCCACTTCACACTTTTCCGCGGATCACCTTTCACCGATGGATCTGCGGACTTCCAGGGAATGTTGTCCAATATGCGCGAGTATAGATGGGTGGGCTGAATATACTCCATGATGAGTGTTATAAAGAGTGAATGAGAAACCAAGCAAGTCCGACAGGAGACTCGGAGTGTCTAGTGGATTGGTTGAAATGGAAAGCTAAATGCAACCATCAACATCGAACGAAAAAGCTCACAAAATGCCAAAAAAACAAACCAAAATGCCAAAAAAACAAACCAAAATGCTGAAGATTCAAAGGAGAGAGGAAGGGACAGAGATGAGGTTAGCTCAAGTTACTGAGAGAGCCTCCCCATAGATCAACGAGCGAGAAGTTTCGAAGATAAGTAGGCCAAGACAGCAGAACGGGGTATATGTAAGAGAAAGCCGAATTCATCTTCCCTTTCCCACGAGTCGCGGATCTTGGCCAAGCGGAAAATGGGTACGAGGCGACCGAATGGGCGTGAACTGGAACTTGGGGGATTTACCTTGTTGTATGTAGGTATTGCCGTGGGGCCTCGGTAGTGGAGCCTTGAAATTACAAGTTCAATACCTGTGAAGATGGCGAAAATGACGAAGTGACGAAAGTGAGGTAAAGTATATGATGCCTAAATATAACTGGAGGGGTTGTGCCATGTTATGTTTGCGGTTGTGTAAATGTAGATGAAAGATACTACATCATAAAAGAGCTACATATACGTATATTGTATGTATCAATCTACAACATAGGGATAAGTATTGCCTACATAGTTACAGCATATGTACGAATACTCCGTACGCATACGCCATACGCCATACGCATACAAACAAGGGAAGGGGCGTAAATTGAAGCTATCTCCAGCCACGAACTAAACCATCTTATGTAGAAGCTGACGACGCTCTGCGCATCAATTGAGCTAGTATCCCATCCGCCAATCAACACGCTATATTTTCCCCATATGAACCATGGGCTAAGGGCCGCCTCAAATTACGCCAGATCTTGGCATTGATCCCACGCAGCCCAGGTCTGCAATCTGATTGGCCAGGGCAATCCCAACGGCAAATCGGAATCGGGGCCTCCAATTGATTTAATTTCTTTTTCTGGAATTCGATGCGCACTGGCGTTAACGCTATACCACTTCGATTCGGAGTAAGGGGATGGAATGCAACCTTGGAAGTTCACCCCTATTTCCTATTTCCGCCAAATACGAGAACGAGAGGGCATTTCAGTCGGGTACATCTTATGCTGTATGGATGTATGAATGTATGGGTGTTGTATGGGTGTTCTATATCTTCTATGAATGTTATAACGTAATTCACATACGAGCCGCCACCACATACGACCCGCCATCTCCAAAACACATAGTAAATGTGATAAATTACAACCCGATATCTCAACAACGGTTATCTATATGAGCTTTTCCTTCTAGCCTAATGCTTTTAATATGATACTCTCTAGCCACTTATGAGGGTTTGGAGGGATTTAATAAACTAGTGAATGAGTAATGACTCAGAAATATATATTTCTAGGGTTCAGCGATGTATTTTTCGATACGATAACAATGCAAGTTTTCGATTTATTCAAAACTGATATTTGATACTATAAATGCTTATCAATTGCTATCGGCCAGTAATGAAATTAAATAAAAGCGTTGGTCGTTGAAATACCATGTTATAATTTATCGATTTTACTATGTGTTCTGCGCTGCGCAGCTCGCTTGGGAATTACGTTACAAAGTACTCCATATGGAGTAAGTCGTCACGTTATCTGACACTCGGACTCCGTGAAGATCGCCTGTACCTCGGGAACTTTTCGAATATCACCGTGAACGCAGGAATGGTAAATAAGAGCAATTGAATTCCACAGATAAACAACATTCCGTCCCTGGGAATGTACCGTTGAACTTGATTTGAATCGAATGAATTTGAAACATATATTGTAACTCAATAATCTCGTATTCAACCAACCAGGCGGAGCAAACTCTTGGCTCCCAGTCTTCAGACTCTACTCCGTACTTCATAGAGCTCACGAGACTATTGAAAAATGGGTCTTCTCAATCACATGACAACGTTGAAGCTGGCTATTTTAGGCGATATTAATTACTTGGTAAGCTTCTCAATCTTTGTTTAGTTATTACAAGTCAATAAAACAGCATAGCTATACTCCGTAAGGATACGTAGGTGGTGCACAGCAAAAAAAAAAGACCTCAGCCCTATAATCTTCCTGCGACTGTGTCCCGTACAACATACGTGTTAGTACGAAGTGTCTTTGTCTCTCGGTTCTTGGCGACCCATTTATTTAGAAAACCGAAAGTCTAAGCGGTTTTCGGTACTCCGTAGTACATATTCATATTATGGTACAAAAGATCGTCTGCCTTGTGGTCAGAGGTCAGCAGCCAAGAGTTTCCCCTGCATGACGGGGAAATATGTGTGGTGGCTGTCTCTATCGGAAATAGGGACTTACGCATACGGAGTATCTACGTATTACTTCCTACACATATAGTTAATCCGTAGTTTGTTCTAGAACCGGCATATTCCGCCTCGTGTGGACCGGTACCCGCTTTTTCTCAATCCAAAAAGGTTTAAGGGTCTCGGGAAATTGATCAGATAGGGTTCTCCAAGGCCTCCAGGGCTGTCAGGTATCATACTCTGTAATACACGTGACAATACACAGGTGCTTGGCAAAGTCGGGTGGCGGGCCAAGATCACGCAATTTTAGTCTCAACCCGACACATTCCATTTAGACCCATCTGAATTTACCCCCTAGTTCAGGAGAACTTGATGGTTTAGGGGTGTATGGGACAAGAATATCCAGAATCCACAACTTTGTCACTTCCAAAATGCGGCTTGCACGTACATTTATGACCTTGCTGGCGGCTGTGGTTGCTTCGGCCACCATTCTCGAGAACGGTCAAGTGAGAGAGAATGCATATCCCGGCCAGTTACAACCGGTGACTTTGGACGATTCATGGAGGAACTATCCCGCGGATGCCCCGGAGATCTCTTACAAAGGTCGATGGGATAGCCAACACATCTCTTGTATGTTCCCCGCTCCTCTTCCCCGGATTCTGGTTTTAACCTTAATGCTAACCTTGGAACGAACCTCAGGGTGGTCGTATGTATGACTCGCTATTATTTTGTCGGCTTTACTAAGTAATGATACAGTGCACCGGGAATCAAAGTCGAGTTCTCTGGGGAAAAGGTACGTCTTGTTTACTCCGATTAACCTTAAAAATGGGGTCCACATCTTAACATCATTCTAGCTTGCCGTCCACTTCGGCCCAAGCACCAACACGGGTGTTCTGGTGGCCTACCGGTATGCATACATCTCACTCTTTATGTATTCATTGTGCTAACCCTTGACAGGATTGGCTCTCTTGATTGGCAATTCTCTAATATCACCGCCTCCTCCACATATCAATTTGTTGGTCCGTGGTCAGAGCTCAAAGATGGTGATGAACCCGTCGACAAAAATGTGTTTGAGATGAGAGGTATGTGTCCCATCAAATTTCCGTGGCAACCCATATACTAACTGCATTACAGTCACAAATTGGGGCATTGGATAAGTCTCTCCCTGTCGTTCAATCTGTTCGTTACTTACCGTCCATACAGTCCAAATCGCTGGTGTTGCTGTCGCGAATGATGCCGTCCTCACCAAGGCCCCGACCTTCCCAAAGAGAGTTGAGATTATTGGGGGCTCGTTAGTTTCCACACCTTGCCAGCTAGTCTTCCATGCAACTAACTGTCCCCAAGGCTTGCATCTGGACAATTTGCCACCTACGAGACAATCTCATCGTGGTCCTTCCTCTTCGCTAACGGCTTAGGAAATGTCGAATACGGCATCACGGTCAGTCCGCTCCCACCTGGATTTCTGAATTCCGAATATGCTGACAAGTCTCGCAGGCCTATCCCGGCGTGTGTCTCGCCGATGAACAATGTTACAACGGCGGCTCTCGCGGTGTAGTATGTCACCAACCTCCCATTTCCCCTAGAACCCCCATCATCAACTAACAACGCCACTAGGGATGGTACTGGCACCGTGCCTCGGACCCGGGCTCTCGTGCGCATTCAATTTACGACCGCAATCCCGAGAAGTGGGACGTCAAGGCAGAGCAACCGGCCGATCTTGTGATCATTCAGATGGGCGGCAACGATCATCGCCATCCCAACGAAATCCCCGGCAGGGATTACTACCATGCCTACGTCGACTTGGTAGAGGATATCCACTCTAACTGGCCTAATGCGATCATCATCCTCATGGTATGCATCTCTTTCACCACTTGGTCTGTAAATGTTCCATCCAACTAACTTTCAACAGTCCCAATGGGGAGGGTTCACCAAGGAAGGAAAGAAGTACGTCGGTAGCACTTACTACCAGGAAGAGACCAGGGAAGTCAATGAGCACTTCAAAGACCGTGGTTTCGTCTACTATTTCCCCACCGAGGGCCTTCTGCAGCATAACGATATCAACCCCAAGAACCATCTTACGGATGTGGGACATGTCAAGATTGCGAGTCACTTGTTGCAGTGGGTTAAGTTGGTTCTCAGGTGGAACCTTGAGCCTACGGGCGAAGTCCAATCTGGAACTACCTACTGGAACGATCAGCAGGAATACTGATTGTTCTTTTGAGACTGAAATTGGGGCCGGGTGGTTATCTGGCCTTTGTACATTTATTTATTGATACTCGGCGCGGTGTAGATAAACTGCAAGAACACATAGAGCATATATGGCGCCTTTTGGCATTGTACTTTTTGCGCATTTAAGTTTCCTATTCGAAGTCGGTAGAATATTTATTAATACTTGAAAGGAAGGCATACTATTAGGTAAAGCTCATATATATAACCGTTGTTGTAATATCGTTGTAATATATCACTTCTACTGCGTGTTTTGCGGTGTCCAGATCGCATGTAACTAGTTAACTAGCACTATCCTATGTTGTATCCATAACAGCAGAATCGCATAAGTTATGAATATCACGGGGATCCTCAAAATTATTCCACTTTAGAGACCGTTAGGACCCCATAATCCATGGCGGTTTCTAGGTAGAACTCGCCCCAAAACACTCCCAATTCCGGTGGCGCACTCTAAAAAGAGAGATAGTAGTAGTGAAAGTACTATGTACTATGCACCACTATTACAAACTAGTGTTTTATCCAGAAGGCCAAAAAAAAGCTGTGGACAGAATTATGGATCGACGTCCGTTAGAAGTTGTTTGTATGCCGCTATTACCACATCTGGATACCTCCAAGAATAACTAGGGCAGGAGTCATAGTCACCAAAATAGGTAACTATAGTATTAGATATTAAAGTGGTGAAAGCTATTTCGATCCACCCCGTGTCAATTCAAGCGTTGAAATATTGCATCGAGCGGGGTACTGTGTGCCTTGCCATCCCTGTTCGATCTATGAGTGTCATCCCTAGGCTGTGTGATGTGGCCTGCATCAGTGTTTACCCAAACATGTTAATTCTCCAATTTATTTTCGTGGGCTTTCTTCTTCTCCTCCGCCGAGAGCTCCGATGTATTCAAGATCAGTGAGGCGGTTTATCCAGTGGATAGCGCCGTAAAAGACTGATTGGCACCCAACAATACTTTTGCGGTGCACCTTTCAAGAACCCTTCCAAGATAGCCTTCTCCAAGCTGATAGGATGCTTCAACATCCACAGCTTGACTATTGCGTAGCCATACTTGGACTTCTTCATACCCGCGTTGAAGTCCGTATTGCCAATCCCGCCGTCTTCCGGGACCTCGCCTGGAATTTTCCCTGGGGATATACGAGCGACAAACGCGATTTGCTTGACGGGGAGAGTGGTATAGAACCAGATGCGGTGGACCTTCTGCGGGAGTAGGTAACCACGGTATTCATGGTTCTTCGCGCCAGAGGCGATATTGCCCATGTGCTCGGGTTTGATGCTCATGAAGATATCTGAGCTCGATTTTGCCATTGCGGAATTCGGCATGAAGTGTCCAATTCAAAGGTATTAGATGATCTCTTCGTTGAATTAGAGATGTGCAGCAAAGGAAAAGCCCAAAAGTTTGATTTAGCGGTGAGTGCACTAATCCGAGGTCAGTTGGTAGTTCACTGATCGGCGCCCCTCGTAGCTGAGAGGATATTCAAATTGGGCTTGAACGCGGATGAAAAACAAGCTGTGGAAGAGCCAGAAAGTGCTAACTATTCATCTCAATTTGCCCTTTTATTGAGATTATCACTGTGAATCAGTTGGTGTTCGGGGAAAGCCTAAGCCTCCGGAATTTTGGCCTTACCATTCAAATCTGTACTCCAAGCCTGACTTCCAATAATTCATGCGGGTGGCATACCTCTGTGCCACGACAATGTTCGAGTCAGGCAAGACGACGGAGAATGGTCAAATAATAGCATGCACCTTGACATAGGTCATTGGATTGCGAAGCTGGTCGGGCAGCGCTTATTGTACTGAGACGTGGGCCTGAAGATGTCGCTCGGTGCTTCTTAGCGCGTGACGCTCCTACTTTGATAATGTGCACGGCAGTTGGGCCATGGGATTGCACTCTTTGGTGTGCCATTCCGAAGTGAGGAGGTGGGAAGGACGCCTATGTAGGGTCCCGATGGCCTAGTCTCCGAACTTCGGTTCGGTCGGGATTTATGTACATCGGCCCTTCTGGGTGGAGATGAGAGTTATGCATAGATCTGGGATATAGATTGTATAAAAAGAGATCGACTGCTCTTGCACTTTTCATAATTCTCGAGTCGAGTCTAACAATGTATCTCTACAAATACCTAAATTCAAGACTGAATTGAATATCTCCTATTCCTCCTATTCTTTCCCATCATTTTATTCCTCAGGCGTAAATCATATGCCCAATAGGGCAATTGCCGAGGTATCCAGAACATTTCATTCGCCAAGTCCTTTATGTTCTTCCCAACGATCCACATGCCATAAAAAGATTGGTGCTAGAGATCAAATAGTCCCAACCGTTGTTGTTCGACCAATGCTATCTCTCCTGCACCGGGATAACTTCCACATTAGGCGACTGGCCACTGGAGCAGATTTTCTTGTCTTTCTTCTTTTTTTTTTTTTTTTAAGAACACTGGCATATAACAAGACCGGGCCAACAAAGACTTCAACAACCTGTCACACTTTTGAATTAAAGTTAGATCAAAGCTATCCCCTTGTGCAGGTATTACTCCGCAGCCCATACTTTCACAATGGTTCCAAAACCCATTCCATTCCCGGGCTTCACCCCGATATCTGATCGAGTATACTTTCGCAATGGTCACGAGAAGGCCAAGCCAGCCCCAGCCGACGAGCCAACAACGATTATCATTTCCGGCTGGGGCGACGGCATGCCGAAACACGTTACCAAATATTCCGACGGCTACCATGAGCTCTACCCATCCGCGCGGATCATCGTTATCCTATCGACTACCTTCCAGGCCACCAACCAACCAGAGGAAGCCAGAGTCCAGGCCATGATGCCGGTCGTCGACACCGTCTTCCCCACGCCAACCGGCAGCGGAAACGAAAAGGAGCGCCTTCTTCTGCATGCCATGTCAAATACAGGCGCCATTTTCACTGCCTCCATCGTCGTCGCGTATCAGCGACGCTATGGAACAGACAAGCCATTCCCCCACGAGCTCTTAGTGCTAGATTCCACGCCTGGAAGTCTAGACTTCACATCTCAGGTTACCCGGTGGTCGCGTGCCATGGCGGTCGGCACGGCCAAGTTCTTCCCTTGGCCGTTCATTATCACACATGGTCTGTGGTATGTTTTCCTCTGGGCGAATTTCCTGCGGCAACTCTTGAGCGGTTCTGTGTCTTCGGGCGTTTGGGCGGATGGGATCATAAATGATAAGTCTTGCATCGCGGCCGGTTCGAGCAGGGTTTACCTTTACTCCAAGGAAGATGAGATTATTGGTTACAAGGATTTGGAGGAGAATGTCGCCCATGCCAGGACATTAGGCTATTCGGCTGATCTTGAGATGTTTGAGGGCTCGCCACATGTCGGTCATATGAGACTTCATCCTGAACAATATTGGAATAAAATTTCCAGCTCATGGAAGCAGGCCATTGCGAAATAAGGTACCCTGGGGACTGGATATATTGCATTTTGCATTTGTATTTATAGCTTAGACCATGTTTAATAATTGTATAGAGCCTTTTCATTGATAGTCTGATTAATATCACTTGCTAGTTTCCAGAACAAGGTTGATCTCCGGGATGTCGATTAAGCCCTGCGATCCGCTATATCGGTACAAGACTTGTCTTAGATTATACTTGTTTATACAAAAGAAACTGGCAAAATATTCATAGGTAGCAATTCGTCAAATTCATAAGTCAATAGATCAGCACTAGTTAACAATCTGGGCTTTCCAAAGCAATACGAAATCAGTACACAGACAACAACCCATCAACTCCACTGGAGGTTCAACCTAGTCACGATCATCAGGATGGAAGACCAATGCCCGCACTTCAATACTCTCTCTTCCCGCTTCATGCTCCGTTTCCGGGTTAACAAAAGCAGTATGGGGCACACGACGAGCTCTTCCATCAACCTTGGAATCAAAACATTTGATAAGTGTCACCAGGTCTGGAGTCTGCCCATAGCGGTAATACCACTTGATATTCGGATCGGGCTTGACGGCGTATGTCTCACCTTCGCGGTCCGGGTATATGAGCCCGATGGGAACAAGGTCACTATCTGGGACTGAGTGTGCATCCGCCACCGCCAATGGATCCTTCAGGATGGTTTTGATCGGACGCCAGACGTTGATGATCTGGTATCGGCCCTTGAGGAGCTCGGGTGCCTCGTCTGGGAGATGGTGGGAGACTCTGTTTTTGGACGCAGTGTAGGATTGATCGATGTGTACGCGCTGCACAGGTCCGCGGAGCTGGGTAGTAATGGATCTATCAGTTTGGGCCCGTCGGATGGTATGGTCGAAGATGAAGATACGAGAGGCACCCGTGCTATGTAGGTTATTGTTAGTTTCATTTGAAAGTGACGTTGAGGGTTTCAGGAGTGCATACGCGTCTTTTAGCAGTTGTTCTGTTTCCGGGTAATATTCTCTCTTGATCTTCTCATCGTCTAGGAAGTCTTTCTCTTGGCTTTCGTGATAGTAAAGCTGGAATCCATGGCTGTCTAGCTTGTAGTCCAGCTCATGGCCACTAATATCGTGGATGGTGGCCACGAGAGGAACCACCGGTCGATCATAAGTCTCTGGTTTGCCAACATATGTTGGTGCCGGGGGAGAGCCATCCTCGTTCTCTTTGTAGAAGTTGAGTGTAGCCTGGACATGGTGAGGCTTTTCGGAGACTGGGACTCTGGGATTTTCTGAGAGCAGAGGGCCGTGAGAACCAGGAAGTTGAACAGCTGCAGAAGCCATAGTGAGTTATTTGCGTTGGAATTTAATGGAGCTTGGAACATATGATAGATAGTTCTTTATATAGCTGTTTGCGGGGTGAGTTCTATTTGTCAGAATACAGCACGCAATATTCGTATGACATGGAGAATGCTGATAAATGCATAGCTTTGAGGGATACAAGAATCAAATCAACTGGTAAGCCCTGCAGTAAATAACTAGCTAATACAACAGATGGAATCATATTATTAATTGACGTGCATATGCCATTTGTAATCTCGCATTCCCCGGAAGATCATTCGGTGGTTGAGATGACGCCACTCGATATCGAATATACGAAAAACGAGATTGGAAATATTTAACCAAGCATTCATTCTATTGTAGTTGATTGCATTTCTTTCTGGGTAGACACAGGGTAGACACAGAGTAGACATAGGGTAGGTGTGATATGAAACCCATCTAGTAATCACGTGGCTTATAACGTATTTCCCAAGCGAGCCGGCCACCCAAGCCAGCCGGCCACCCCAAAACACATAGTAAATGCGGTAAATTACACCTTGATATATCAACAACGGTAGTCTATATGGAGATTTCCTTGTAGAGTATTGCTTTTTGGGTCATATCTAGTATCTTTAGGGAGTTTAAAAAAGATTGATGCCTTTGTGGTTACGTGATATATATTTCTAGCTTTTAGCAACGTAATTTCCGGTAATTTTTGAAATGGTCACAAAATAGCCTTCTGCTCTCTTTGATATTGATATATAGTGGTAGTAAGCCTTATCGATGACTATCGACAAACAAGGAGATAAAATGAAAACATGGTTGTTGAGATATAAATGTGGAATATATCGCATTTTGACGGAAAAACGGTGGTAAGGCGAGTGTATATGTGGCAGAAAAATCTCAATAAATTCTCTAACTCTCTAAAAATGACAATAGTCCTAAAACATGACAATCTTGTGGACAACTTAGTAATCAAAACAAACAAAACAAAATGAAAGGATGTTTTTCGGGCGAAAAACCACTGAGTTGGTTGCAGAAAACCAGCCTGTATCAGGGATGAAAAATGACAGTATTCATCCTAGATTCTGACACATTTACTATGGTGTTTTGTGGCCGGCTCGCTTGGGAAATACGTTACTCCAATGAGATGCGTTTATAAAGATATTAAGTAAACAGCATAAACCACACTCCTAGTGATAGAGGACTTGTCTTTGTATAGATATTTATCGCTAATCTTCCTCGCAGTTCTAGAAAACGACTTAGCATGGCCACCAAGGTCCTCCGCCCAACAAAGTCAAAAGCAACGCCGTCTTTCCCCTCCCCCTCGGCAGTCTTTCATCCGCATCAGATCACAGCCTCAGCATTTAATAAATCCAAGCGGGGGCTAATAGGATCACTTTATATTCAAACAAGCATCCCCAGAGTCTTGGTCTATTTTAGAATCCCTGTGATTCATATTATCCAACCCCATCACCATGGCAGTCATCCAAGCAAAATGGACCAAAGTCGTCGAGGCTGAGGTCTTACAGCGATCGTCCCAAGTAGTCTCCGTCATTGACGGACAGGTTTACATCTTTGGCGGGGAGTTGCGGCCACGAGAGCCGA